ATTAACCCTATAACCGGACGTGCGCCGCGTTTACGACTCAACACGAGGTATGAGCCAGCACGATCTTTGAGGACATCTTACGATTCAAACATCATAACAATACTTTCTTATTAGAGAATTTTAAAAAATGAGTATAGTTTTAAATTTAAAATACAACGTAATAATTAATCTATAGTTCAATGCAATTTTTAATAATAATGCGAATACTCAATCTATTTTGGTATCGGTAAATAGTCTCAAATATGATATATCCAAAAGTTTTCTATCTCAAATAAAAAACATTAGACAACAGTAAATACAAACTACGTTGCAGGAGATGTAAATATCCTCGTCGATAAATATAAAAAAATCAACAATTCTTAAAATATTTGTTATCAAAATGGCAATAACAATTTAAAAATGATCTAATAAAGTTCAAATTAGATTTTAACTAAACTATCTGATTCTTCATCAATAGCATTTATATACTAAAATATATAATTGAGTTTAAATATTCATATTGTAACAGATGTAGATGGGAAATTGCAAAAAAAATGGAATTTAAATGGCCACAATAACTCACACACTAGAGTCAACGTTAGGATAAAAACTACATAAATAAAAACATAAAGGAAGAGATAAACATTAGGCAATAAAATTCGAAATCGTTTACATCAATTTATTCTTTTACAATTCAAGTGGTGTCAAAAATGGACAACAATACTATTCCAGGTAGATTCTTATAACGACTGCACCCTCGCACCCTCGTTGGCGCCAACGTTTATCAGCTTTTATTGCGAATATATTGCACATACTCTTAATAGAGGCGTATTTTCTATCGCGAATAACTCTAATGATTGATCAATCTTTAAAGAGTAAAAGTACGTATGAATGAAATCCAGTTTTGTTATCGCTTAAAAACTTCTATACAATATTTAAGCGATTTTACATCGTACCGTTTTAAAAACAATAAAACGTATTAGAGTAATAAGTAGAATTCGTTTTCAGTCTGAGCTAAATTTTAATCTATTATATTTTCCCGATGGGTTTAAAGTACATAACAACTTGGGCATTTTTTTCTTAAATTGTCGAAATTGTGTAATATAATTTTGTATGTGAAAGTATTTTAGATCTACACCTACAACAGTTATCCATATAAAACGAGCTCTAAAGAAGTGTAAAATACAGTGGGCCGGCTGTGGGAGGTTACTGTTCTACCTACTGGCAATGTTCTATCTGCCTAGCTTACGAGACACTACAAAATAATGTCATAAACTCGAATAAGCGTTGCGAAAAAATTTATTACTCACCGTAAACGCCTGATAGTCTAGTCCACTAACGGCTTCCCCGGTAGCGGAAACAATCGCA